TCTAGGTTGTCTTGGAAAAAAATCGGGTTCACAATTTGATATACATGTATATATATGTTTTAGTTTGAACTTCTGGCCATTTTTAAGATGTGTACAGACCATGACATACTGTGGTCCATTTTCAGAGGAGTCAGTTTTCTGTGAGCAACCTGCAGTATGTCTAAGTCACCTCGAGTTCTGAACTTGATCACTGAAATAGATCCATTTCATTTCTTCTTCTTGGTGACAATAAACAACTTTCCTCACACTAGATTTTTATCCCATGTGCATTAGCTATTAAATAATTATTTTTCATACAGGCTACAGTAAACTGAGTTTTGCTGTAATAGTTAACACATGCATCCAAAACTAACAGTAAAAAGCTCTTAAATTTAAATTTATAGATATATCTTTTGAATCAGATATAGATTTAATATATTTTTTGAAGATCTGGAAGTGATTTCAAATCTTTGATGCATGTGAATAAATTTACAATTTGAGTGTTGAATTTGAACCTCACTAACTTGTTTTGGGAGTCCTTTATGCCCTTTTCCCCTCTAAATTGACAGGTACCCCTCCAGAAGTAGTGTCGGTCCACACCTCTGACCGACATATGCCGTTTATAATCCCTACATGTGGTCAGTTGTTTACAGTCTGACTGTTGGCCAAAAACATCACTCATTTGTCATACTTTATAATGGAGTGTGACTCAAGGAGGCATGATTCTTTAAACGCTTCCAAGATCAACCAAGAAAACAAGAAATCATTTATAATAGCTTCAGTATATTCTCAGATGTGCTTGTACATATAGTCTGCATTTTATTTAGAATGCACTCTTCAGAAAACTATAGGAAATGTCATATATATATAGCAACTACATAAATATCTGGGGCATATTTACTTTTATAAATCTGTCCTATACACTACTTTTATCCCCCCTTGCAATGTAGTTGGAGGGGATATATAGCAACAGGCTTGTGTGTGAGTGAGTACACATTTAATGGAAGTTACAAAAGTAATAAATTATCTGGATCAAAGCTATTTTGCGAGGGGATGCTCCACTTTATGATGCCCTAGCTTGTTTTATTTTCTATTTTCTTTCAAGGATAACTCGGAAATGTGAACTGTTATCAACCCACCAACCAACCAACCCCCACCCCCAAAATTCTGAATGAATTTTACTTAATTGAGGATACAAGGTGTGCAATTAATTCTTTGACAATAACTAAAGGCTGATAATGTGTTTTTATGAAACTGTGCTGAGGTTGCAGACCTACTTTATGAACTAATAAACAGAGAGATGACTTGTTAGATCTCAATTATAAACAATGAGTTCGTCTGTACACATCAAAATTACCTACCATATTACAAGTAATCATATCTGACCTGCATATAATGTGGATGTTTACCTTTATATCTCAGAACCAAATTGACAGACATACATGAAAAGACTACATCTATTGCAATGTATTACATATAACAAGATTTAACTTATTAAGCATCTGGGAAACATAGAATAGCCTTACTCTGATCATCACAGAGACACTGATATGTCAATAACCAGATAACAACAAAAAAACTTTTGGTCCTGTCCTACTTATAATTCTTCTCTAAACCTTGATATCTTATAAATCATCAGATATTTTTTAAGTTTTCTTCCCATCTGATCTTTCTCAATTTTCTTTATTGATCTCCTTAAATTTGAAGTGAAGTTTGACTACATATGAATTTTCCTTCAAGGCACACATGTACACTAGCAATCATAAAATTTCTATTAACTTAAAGTATGTTCAAATTGAGACAAATATAGAATTCTGGGTCGTTCATAGCATTAAATGTGATCATTAATTCTCTCCCTGAATCGTCCAATATGTTGTGTGTTATTACATGAAGTCAAATTGTCTCTCTGCATGATGATACAGCCTTTAAAATAATTGTGCCAAACTGAACCTACCAATAAGTTTCCTGATAAATCACTCAATTATGTCAACAAGACTAAGTATTTAGGTCACCATTAGGAAAAATTTGCAAGTTACTAGACTATAATTGCAATACATTGTACATTTATCAAACTTCTCAGGAATTGTTGTCATATACCATCAATCCCAAAATTGAAGTACATTTGTCAGCAACATTTTTCTGTTTATAGCCCAAGATCTATTAATTTACTTTACTAACTTTGAATGTATGCCATAGGTCCCCTAAATAAAATGACTGCACAAAATTTAGCACTTAACGTGCCTAATCTATAGGTTCATCACATAGTTTTGTAAAACTAATGGATGGAAAGGAGTGATTTAGTCATTTACATAATGATCAATTTTTTCGTGTATACATTATAACCAAAAGAAGGTAACAATTACAAATGTACTCCTTGTACACATTCAGATCTAGGTAAAGTAAGATGTTTATATATATTTGTTTTAATCCTTTTCAACTTAACACTATAAGAGTTTGATTTATAAATAGAATTATACTGCTAAGATCACAAGTGATTGTGATCAGTACAAGATAGTATTTTTATCAGTACAACATCTTGTACAGTTAGGGCTTAAAATGAGGATCAGTCTGGAAACATGAGTAACAGGACTATATATATATATTTTTTTTTGGGGGGGGGGGGGGGGAGGGGCTTATTCCTTCTTGAAAAGTTTTTGTTGTTACAAAGTGACTGTGACCGTTTAACTAACCATCAATTCAATACAAGAGACACAATGAATCACAATCCCCAAGACAATGGCACTGAACACTAATGAAATTTTTTTTTTACGTCCCTCTCGAGAAATTTTCACTCATATGGAGACGCCACCACTTGCCAGTGGAGGGCTACAAATTTATACCTATGCTCGGCACTCAGGGCCATTGAGCAGAGACAACTTACGTCGCGAGACTAGAGCAGATGCTCTAACCACTGCACCATAATGAAAAAAGTTATTTGGACTTGCAGAAAATTGTGTTGTATAAACTAGATATATATATATATATATATATATATATATATATATATATATATATATATATATATATATATATATATTCATGGTGAAATTACTATAATCACCACTAAAGTAGGAATGTGAACTGTCTCTGAAGTGAAGTGTCAAGACCTGTCAATCAATGTGAAATACAACTACTTCCCTCCAAATGCACACATAATCCACACATTTATAAGTCTAGCAATTAAAACAACTGAAATATGCATTCAAATTATAGAATTTCGGTATTTTTTCATCCTGTGCCACCTGAGCACTCAACAGGTTCATAATAAAAGCTGCAGCAGCAAGGCACCTTGGCTTGTACCATTCATACACTGGATAATCTAAAATTCTCCTTGCTGCTATATTTAGGACTGTCAGTAGCTTAATTTTGTCCTAGTATTAGGACACATTGTCAGGGCAACATTTTATAATCAATCTAATATTACTTGTCTTAGACAAGTTCAGCATTAATTAACCATTACTTAATTCAACACTACTTTCTCAAATTCTGTTTACACTTTGTCTTGTCTAATGAGGTTTTGGATGAAGTGGATTTTTACTACCTTTTATTGATCATATGATTCAATGTATCTCAAACATTAATTTTTTACCAGTATAAATCAAAATGGTTTTATCATACTGTTACATTTGAAGCCTAGGGTCTTGAGTACAAACATCCAATCCTGAGCTCAGCTGTATTTTTTTTTAATGAATAATGACTCATTTTCAGAAGTCTTACACTGGACCAAAATGTCCGGGATTTTATATCTAAACATTTTGTTTGACTACCCTTTTCACATAAAAGGGGAAAAATCTCAACATCAGTACTGGACTATGAATATACTATGGGAGTTGGAGGCATGCCCCTCTAGAAATTTCCTGATAAATGTTGCAAGAATTTGCATTCTGGGAGCATATCTGGGGGCATTTCTAGAATTGGCACAAATTAGATATATTTGTTACATATATGTTTTATCACTCAGGATATTTTCCATAACTAACAGGGGAATTTTTACATTTTTTTTTCAAAAAGGGAAAGGTACCATTTACGCATTTAAACAGCCTTGATAAACCCCGCATGTGCACAATTCTAACATTTTGCTGACCCTTAATTTTTTTAACATGTTTAAAGAACAGATTTTTATTTCTGAAAATATATCAAGCAATAATTTATTTCTCCTTCAGACAAATTGTCGACAACTTTTCTGATCTTCAGACCATGTGCCCTGTGTGATCCAATTTAAATCTGATACTCTGCAATGACTGACGAGTTCCATCTGTCAGCCTGTCATTTCAGGCTACAGATATGCTTATCCAGAAGTCATTAGCCATGCACAGGCTTCTAGAGTCTTTGAACAACTTTCTATACCCACTGAAAAGGACTAGTCTATTAATTAATATAGGTCAAGGGGAAATTAATGCAGAAATTGAATATATATAAATATCAGATTACAATGAACTTCCAATCACTCTTGAAAAAAGAAATCTTAGTAGAGATTATTTTTTTCATTTGCCTGGTTTGGCATCTAAAATCTGTGTGCAATACCTGCATCTTTACTTTCGGTATTTTTTTTTTAAAAGAGGCAGTAGTCCATTTTACAGGTTCATTCGTATGCTTTCCAGAAGGTCTTGACCATGTTGACCCAGTTAAGAAAAATGAGTTCAAAGAGCCAGATTATCTTTAGTGTCTTAGACATTCAATTCTTGCTATTACATTCATGTAAAAGTAGATGAATTTATCATCAGCAAATATCTCCTTGGCCTTTAAGACAAAATTGTACAGATAAAATATTGTGTTATGCATATTCAATCTTGCATATATTGTATATTCATATATTCAATCTTGTAAAAACTGTAAGTAAAAACAATAAATTTATATGAAATTATTGTGCTTTATATATTCTGGCGAAAGAAGAGAGACATTATAACGGGACAGTTGTAAACACGTGGTAAGAGCCGCTACGTCACACAGTCAAAACAAACATTCGGCGAGGATCAAAAGAGGGCAAAATTAACCACAGGAATGTGACACAAGATACAAACCTTCCATCCTGCTGAACTTGTGCTGTCACCTTTATCCTTAAAATAGGGAACATTTTGTACCATCCAATCATAAATTTGTGACAATGTCAGTCTCTGCTCTGCAGAACTCTGAATCGCTTTCGTAATTAGGTCAGCGTAGGAAAGATTTCCCCATGCATTACGCCGAGACGAAGTCTTTTTATTCAAGCCCAGATTGTCCGGTTTTACATGATTGTCTGCTGTCGATTCGTCCGACACTGGGGAGCACTGCGCCTCTACCACATCCTCCTGTGGACGACAGGGCCAAGTATTACAGCGCACTCGCTGCTGTGGCTCGAAATCTGGGTCGATCTCAATGGGTTGACGGACGTCCATTTTGGATGTATGCACTTCTACTACGAGCGTAAGGCACTATCGCGGCTAAGATCCGCTACAAAAAACGAATTTGTTGTCGACGATCATATAGTCCAGAGCTTGACACACATTCCAATTCTTATTATCTAAACCATTAATCGCCTCATTTTCTGTTTCACCTCTAAGAACAGCTGTATTTTCAAACCAAAACAAATAATATTTAGCAGGTAATATTCCTCGCATCGGGGGCACCTGATGACGTAGTTGTTGTCACGGGTGATTTGCATATTCTGCGCAATCGATCATTGCGCAACTACTTTCCAACTTCCGCGAATAGGTCAACATACTTGCCAGAAAAGATTTATTTTTAGTGGACCTGGTACCAATGACCGATAGGAATTTCATACATTATAAATTAAATAGGGCCCCTCAGATATATTTGAATGGAGTTGCTATTTGATTAGTGTGTATGGGCATGTGAAAGCTCATGTGTTTTGTGACCTTAGGAAAGAATGGGGGTGCGGATCACACAATATCTACATTTTTTTCTCTCTCTCCAGATAAAAAGTCTACCATCTGCCGAGATTCACTGCTACGCAGACATGAGGCATCGTCCGACCTAAATTGTTAAAGACAGAACATTAGAATTTGAAAAAAATATTAGTATTCGATATGATAAGTAAAGGTATTTAAAAATTTCTATAAAATTTTACATGTATTAGAATTATATTAATATGTCTGAATGATATTTCTGGTGGTATCTTTCTGCCCCTATTATATGAAAGTTCCTCTTCTAAAGATTTTGTCAACTAGCAAGATAATTATGTCAACATACCACAAATAATGTCAAGAAAATGTAATTTTCTGTCTCAGTATGCAAGTTAGTTTTCTATTTTAAAAAAATGTCAATAATATGTCAACATGCAACATAAAATATGTCGACATGCAAGACAAATTGTGATGAATTTGGAAAATTTTATTTATCAAAAATCGCCTACATGTGACTTCCAACTGACATGCTAGATCTATGCAACTTCGATCTTTATATGTCGACATACGACTACTTATATATTTATGTTAATTGACTTGCAACTTATTTATGTTGATCGACATGCACAACTTATTTATGTTGACATGCAAATTATTTATATTGACATGCAACTAATTCATGTGTTGATTATACTTGTCTGGCATATGTCAAATAATTAAGTTGCATCTCGACTGACATAAATGAGTGCACTAAAATTCTTGCAAAATAAATTTATTGTAGAATTTAAGATAAATCATCATTCCACTTTTTGTTTTCAGAAAAATGAATTTTTCCTGACGGAGTGCAAAAACACGCCCCATCACTATAATCAGTCTACATGCAGGTTACCACTCTTTTAGAAAATCAGATTTTCATATGGGAAAATTTACTCAATAATGCCGGTTTCTGACATCATACATGCCAGAAACAACATGTATACGTACATATATAGGCATCGGAACCGGGAGGGGGCTAGGGTGGTGGCTTAGCCCAAATTGTTTTTGCAAAGATAGACATAATATAGGCAATGAGGGCTTAGCCCCACGATCTTTTTTTTTGTTGGTTTAGCCCCCCTCCCCCCCCCCCCCGCCACGTTCAATTTGCTCCCGACGCCTATATTTACGTATATATGTTGACATGCAAATTATTTATGTTGAAATGGGAGTAAATTAAGTCGACATGCGACATATTTATGTCAACATGCCATTAATTTATGTTAACATAATATAAAATACTTTTTATTAATTTATGTCAACATATTCGAATTTATTATGTTGGTATGTGACTTATGTCAATATGCAAGATAATAAGTTGCCTGTCAACCTTTCTATCTGGCATGTTGACATAATTAACTCGCATATCAACATAATTATCTCGCATGTTGACATAATTAACTCGCATGTCAACATAATTATCTCGCATGTTGACGTAAAAAAGTCGTATGTCTACATAATTATATCGCATGTTGACATAAATAAGTCGCATGTAAACCCACATGATTATGCTGCGTCATGCATGTATGATTTCAGATACTGGTATTAGTAAGTAAATTTACTCATATTAAAATCATATTCTCTAAAAAGAGAGGCAACTTGCATGTCATAATTATCTTGCATGTTATCACACTTATCTTGCACGTTGACACAATTCATCTTGCATGTAGGGGGCAAAAATATGCCACTATGCGTCATCGCCATCCGCATTTGACTTCCAACATGCTAAATACAACTTATTTATGTCGACATGCAGTTTGTTTATGTTGAAGTTCAACTTATTTATGTCAGTTAAAATGCAACTAATTTTTGTTGACATGCATCCAAGATAATCATATGTTGAAATGAAAATTATGTTGACATGCAGGTTATTTACATTGGTATATAAAATTTAATATAAATAACTTATGTTGGGATGCGTATGGTGGCATATTTCTGCCCCCCCCCCCCCCCCCTATATGTAAGCTAAATTATGTTAACATGCGAGAAAAGTACGACAACATGCAAGATAATTATGTCTACATGCATTATAATTATGTTGACATGCAAGTAGCCATTTTTTTTTAGAGAATCTAATTTCAATGTTGGTAAACATACTTACTAACGCCGGTACACGACATCATACATGCAAGAAGCATCAGAATTATGTTGAAATGCGACTTATTTATGTCGACATACAAGATAGTTATGTTAACATGCAAGATATTTATGTCAACATGCAACTTATTTATGTAAGCATGCAAGATGATTATGTAGACATGTGACTTATTTATGTCAACATGCAAGATAATTATGTTAACATGCAACTTAATTATGTCTATATGCGACTTATTTATGTCAACATTCGACATGCAAGATATTTATGTCAACATGCAAGAAAAGAAGTTGCATGTCAACATACATATCTCGCATGTTAACATAATTATCTTGCATGTTGACATAAATAAGTTGCATGTCTACATAATTATCTCGCATGTCAACATAATTCTGTTACATTTTGCTTGTATGATGTCATATAATGACCTTAGTAAGTAAGTTTACCAACATTAAAATTAAATTCTCTAAAGAGATTGGTAACTTGCATGTCAACATAATTATTTTGCACTTTGACATAAATAAGTCGCATATCTACATAATTAGGTTGCATGTTAACATAATTTATCTTGTATGTAGGGGACAGAAATACGCCACCATACATGTGAGATAAATGTCTTCAATGCAACTTGTAATATACATGTATTTATGTCGATATGTAAATTATTTATGTTGACAAGTTGCATGAATAGGTAATGAAGTTGCATGTCAGCATATATAAGCTGCATGTTGACATAAATAAGTTGACTTAAATAAATTGCATTTTAATAAAAGAAAGTTCACGTCGACCTAAATTAGTTGCATGTCGATATAAATGAGTTGTAAGTCAACATAAGGGTTGCATATTGACATATTTACCTCATATATCAACATAAATAAGTTACACGCCAATGTAAGTAAATTGCATCTAGCAAGGTGGAAGTCACATGTGGGTGATATTTAATCGTTAATTAATTAAAATATCTGATCATATTTTTCTTGCATGTCAACATCGTTATGGTGCATGTTGTCACATTTATGTTGCATGTTATTAATATAGTTATCTTGCATGTCGATATAATCTTTAGAAAAACAACTTGCATACAATTAAACTCCAACCATATACAGTCATTGAGTGGCGGATTTAAAGGGGGCGCATTCCTAAAATTGTCGAAGTTAAGATAAATCATTGTTCAATCTTAGAGAAACATGATTTTTTGGATAAAGGCAACGCAAGAAAGTATGTATGATCTGGGGTCAACTCGATATAAGTACAATTAATTTAATCACTGGAATTCCCCCCGAGAGTGATTCGAGAAAACTGATGGCAAAGTTGGAAATCGAGGTGGATCTTAAGTTCTTTAACTTTCTTCGTTGTAGTTTAAAACTTTTGAACAAAGAGTCGCAGAAACATAAAAACATTTCTTCGGATGTCATTAATAGCATTAATTTCCTTTAATATGATCCACATTGTTTTGCCAAGAATTCTTCTTTATTTCAAGCGAAATTTATTTGAATTTTATTTAGAATTCATCAATCACCAGAAATAGCAATTTTTGCTATTAATAGGATTTCACGTTTTTATTTTTACTTCTTAAACTGCAATTGGAATTTAATTTATGCTAGTTGAATCCAACTTGATTAACACAGATCCTTATTTTAATCTTACTTATTATTTCAGAACATTCAGTTCCGAACCCGACCTTCTCTAAGTTTTTTTTGTTGTCATATTCAAAATCTTATACATGAGAAAAAGAAATCTCTTGGCCTTCAACTCGACATTTAGATAAATTATATCAACCACGTATTATCAATTAACAAATTTGTTATTTCCATTTATATGCCGACCCGATACATGTATATCCCAGTGAGCTTGAAATAAAAGATACCACAGAGTCTGACAAATCTGTGTCATATTTTGATATTTTACTATAGAAAAAGACCTTTAATGGTAATCTAACAACAAAGCTTTATGATAAACGTGATGACTTTAACATTTCAATCGTCAACTTAAATTCCCTTACTTATGCAGAAATACATGTATACCCTTATCACCTGTGTATATGGGGTGTATATCTCTCAGTTGATTCGATAGGCAAGGGCATGCCCTACGTATGAACAATTTCTAAAATGAGGTAAGTTATTGACAAACAAGTTGATGAAACAAGAATATCAACAGTCTCGTTTAAAGTCATTTCGTAAGTTCTATGGTCGATACAATGACCTTGTCAGCAAATACAATCTATCATTAAACGCTGATCGATGAAGCTTCCGCTTACTGTATATATTTTTTAACGGATCCCCCCCCCCCCCCCAACAAGGTTATATTTAGGAGACAATCGTGTCTTCTTTGAATTCGCCCAGTTTTAATTTTGGCCACTTACAATAAGGACGAAGGGGACGAAAATAAAACGAGGGTGAAATTTTCCCTGTATACAGCATGTTCAATGTAAGCGTCATAAAAAAAAGGGATGGGTATCGCCAAAAATGTTGTATTACGATAAATCACGATTTTTTTGTTTTCCAAAAAATCACGATAATATCATGATATTCTTAAACACAATTTTTACTATGTTTTTAAATGAATATCTTTAATTTTTCAATTTATGAATTTAGTATTTAGAGTAAAGTTCACATTATTGAAATTT